TAGTAAATGAACAGAGGATGTCTAAAAAACCTGTTCGAGAATAAATCGAATTTGAAAGTGCACGTTCTATTTAAACGCTCATGTAAGTCTTGCTTTGTTGAAGACAGGTAGCATCTGATTTCATTGTTATTCTAGTAATACAGTCCCACATTATACCAAAGTATTACTTATTGATACAAAAACAACCACAGCAACAGCATTTATTTATTGACTATCCATTTTAATAGCTCAGTCTTTTTCCCTATAAATGAAAGCATCATAAATGATAATCCCATTCCCCATTAATGATAGCATCGTGAGTTAAAACTAAAAATACGCCTACGAACGGCTTCAAATAGCGTAACACCTTAACACAACTGTTCAGTTTTCATGGCATATTCCTCCGAATACCCAATGATTTATATAATAGGAATGGTGTTTTGTGCTTGGTAAATAACTACACATATAAGTATACGGGCATAGTCCGCATTAATAATAGACATGCCTCCAGAGGTGAAGCGAGACTGACTTCCTTTGACTCTGTTGCGAGCCCTGTCGTTATCTTCGTCGTCATTGTTTCTCTCTTCCTCCCCGTTCTTTCCTCTCTTCTTTGTCTTCCATTCGTCTTGATCATCATCGTGGAAGTTTTCGCCATTATCTTCCATTCTGTTGCCATAGTCATCCCCATAATTTCCTTTGCCTCTCCTTTTGGCTCCCCAGTCATTATCATGGCCGTCATCTCCCCAGTCGTCATCACGATCGTCGTTCCTTCTGTCGCTGAAGTCATCGTTGTCTTCTTTCCCTCTGCTGTAGTCGTCGTTGTCGTCAAATCGTCTGTTACTGTAGTCATCATCGTCGTCGTTGCTTTTGGTGTTGTAGTCATCTCTGTCATCGTTCCCTCTGTTGCTGTAGTTATCGCTCTGGTCGTTTTGGTCACTGCTTTCCCTATCCATGTCATCGCCATCGGACGGGCTATCATCGTACTCATCCCCCTCGTGACGAACTCTACCATCATCTGGTGTATACAAAGTTACCGTAGGAACTCTCGTTTTATTCAAAATTAAAATCATTCACTTTTGTAGAGTTAAACTGGAAGTTCAAGAAATAAAAATATCCTATTTTCTCGTACTAGAAACATGAAGCAAGTGTGCCACTCCGGTAAATTTCTCGAGAATATTTGCGTCAAAGACAAGACTAAATGAGTTTCTTGCCATCTTATAGTCCCTAAAAGTACAAATGGACCAAGTTAATGCGATATGATCACATGAACTGGCCGGTTAACCTACAACTAAGATTCTTAGTGCGTATAATCAACATTCAACGCGGTGAAGTTCAATGATTAACACGAAAATTAAGCCAGACAGTAAACGGAACTAAGGTTAAGATCTTAAATAAACAAACGGGCAAATGCAGGCAATGTATCTATATGATTATGATCTAACACGATTTGGACTGATAATTAAACAGAGCACCAATGAAAGATTCTTACCATCTGGCACTGGCGAAGGGCTGACCCAACTTGGTGCCAACAGAGCCGCAATGAAGAGGAAGAGTAAGCCTTTGGATTCCATATTGTCAAGTTGATCAACGTAAAACACCGGCTGTATTCGATTGAGTGAAGATTTCACTTGCTACTTTGGCAATTTATACTTTTGCACTGGCATAGGTAAGATTTAAGATCAATATACTGCTGTGCATTTGATGGGAGTATCTAATCGGTCTTTTCAGTTTTGAGCGAAAGTTGTGATATTAGGAAGAGAAAACATTTTTAATTTTAGAAACAATGACATCAAATCAGGGGAAAAAAGATGGCTTAACATGCAAATAAATCTTATCCCTCTCAAAAATTTCTGTTTTCTTTTAGGACCACAATATCTAGTGGGATTAACAGTGTTGTGTCGAATTTGAACGTTGTTGCCATGGTGTTCAATTTTTACTCTCATCTCGGTTTTAATGCGATTAAACCCACGCAGAATAATGAATCATTACCAGAATTTTCCCGCTTACTATAGCTATTGCATAGGAAACGTTCATAATTACCTTGCATACAAAGAAGACCCTAGCACACTATTTCAGAGGTCTGTTTTTCACAGTTGTAGGCAAAACCAAGTTTATTCAAACAGGCCATATTCGTATTCTCGGTTTTAGACTGGAACTAGCTTGCAACGGAGGCTCCTGAGGGGGAATATCATAAAAAAAGAGATAAATGTGATTTGCATTTAAAAAGACTCCCTGCGTTACCCTCAGTTGCAGGCTAGTTCCAGTCAAATACCAGAATACCAATATGACCTATTGTAACATAAATAATCTACCCTGGTTTATAGAAGATTATCTCCGCATTGGTCTTGTTTTCAACGCTTTGTCGACAGGGATTAAGAATTTTGTATAAGAAACTATATTTAACTTGAAGGATTCTTGACGTCAACTCATGTGCGACTCACAAATTATCCAACATCAGCCCACTTAAAGGCAATTAAACGTACAAGCAATGTAAATATAAGGTTAACAGCTTACTTATTGCGTACAAGGGGATCAAACAGAATTGTAATCATTATGCTTGCCGTTTCTAATGTAAGGACGTTCGCGGGAAAATTTTCCAACATTGATTTTTTTTTCTGAGACTTTTACCACTGTAAGATGATGAGTTAGTTATGTCAGAAATGTAAAAAAATGCGGGGTCATCCGACCTCGTTTTGGACGGAACATGCTCGGAAGAACACCTTTAATCTGAAACAATCGGGCTTCGATAGCAAGTAAGGCCATAGTGTCTGTAAGCCCAAAATTATAGCAATTAGATCTTTGAAGAGAAATGTTCTCTGCCATATATTTTTTAAGTGGACCTATTAAGTGAATTTAGTCAACTGGTGAGGTTCCTTAAAGAACAAGTTCGCATTCAGCGACCGTAGGTTCACGCGCCTTGCAGCCGCAAGGTGGCAGGATTCGATGTCCCGTGGACAGAAATATTGAATTTTTCTTAACTTCCCACATTGATTTTTTGTTCATTTTTGGCCAATGCGGAGATAATTGTTAATAAAATCTGTTTCTGGAAAGAAAAGTAGGGGTCACCGTACGTCCAAGATCGTTAAATCCACGCAAAGTTATAACAATGGCCATCTGCCCTATCATTGTTCATTTCAGTACTTAGCGCGCGCGCTCGATTCATGACGTGGCGTGTGAATTTGCGTGCGCAGTAAGGATGTGCAGAAACAGTTAGCGCAAACGTCCTAAAGAGAAAACGACGTCTCTTTATCATTTATCAAGAAATACAAAATATTTTCTTTATTTCCATCGAGTTATAGGAAACACGGGTGGAGGTTTGGGAGAGCAAGAGATTTTGTGGGAGCACGAACCAAAGAAAGACACCTTTTTCGACTTCTCCCAAACTTTCACGAGTGTTTCTATATCACAATAGAAACACGGAGAAAATGTTTTGAATTTGTTTTAGAAAATACCGGGAGATAAAGAAGAGATACTCAAAAGTTTATTCCGATATTCAAAATGTTTTTAGGAAACGCTTCCTTGTAAGGTCTTTTCTAAGTGCCAGAAAAAAAAAATGAACAAAATGAACGTATGCAACCCAGATGTCATTCCGCTTTTTCTTCACGGATATTCTAAGAAAAATTCTGATGAATAGTATCTCATTCGGATGGGGGAAGAAGCACATTTCTCGTAACTTCGTGCGATGGAGTTATGCTCTACCCCTATGAACAACTTAACTTAAAAACAGAACACAGTACAGCATAATTATCTTCAAGATACGCAACATCCTCCAGTTTAAGGTGTTCATAATAATTAGTCGAAGGAATTCCATTCTAATTTAGCCAAGCCTGCGGACGCAGAAATATTTCCGTTTGTCGCTTGCTTTCGCAGGCTAGCCAACTTTTTAACCTCAAAGAAGAGAGAGAGCCTCGAACCTTCGAGGAAGCGTTTTGCAAACAACTACAACTAGATATTTCATGAATGATTCAAGGTATAAAATAAAGCACCTATGTCGCAAGATTGTATTGGCCCACTCAGTGTATTGACCTGTTCGAAATTTTGCCTTGGACTGTAGAATAGTAATGTAGTTTCTTGCTTTAATCTAAAAAAAGAAAGTTTTGTACAATGTAAATTCTGCAAAACTTTCTTTCTCTAGTTTTTCTTTCAAGGAAATTCGTATTTTGCATATTTTGGAGACAATCAATACGTAACTTTCTAGAATTTACACCCATCAATATATAACAATGTGAAGAATGTCAAGCCAGGTACCTTCTCTTTTAATATTCGTTTGACGAAACCCGTTTTTTAATAAAAATAAGATTTAAAAGGACCATCAGTCTTATAAGTCTAAATGTTTGGAACAGCTGCATTTTAAAGCTAAGTTATAAACACGATACAAAAGCATTTCCAGGGTCCAACGAAACAGATAATAAAGTATCGCATACTTATTTAACTTTAATATTTTGAGCATTTAAAATATATTTTCACGCTCTTATCATGTCATCTATGCTGTTAGATTCAGAGTATATGTTAAAACAAATATGCTATGCTGGTGGCAGAAGTGGGACAGGAAGATTCGCCTATTATTATCAAGAATCGAGATATAACTTCTAAATTATGCTAGATATAAAGCATACGATTAAACACAAACATATCGAATGAAATGTTCCGATGGATGTAAATCCGCTGGCTGAATTGAAGAGCATTAATCTTTCAAGGCCCTGGTCAGCTGAAAGATCGGCATCGTTGTTGATGTCATCGTCCGAAGCACTACCACTATCATTGTCGCCACTATCATTGTCGCCACTATCATCGTCGTCATCATCATCGTCGTCGTTATCATCATCTTCATCATCGCCGCCATCGTCATCATCGTCGTCATCGTCATCGTCACTATCGTTGCCGTCATCATCATCATCGTCGTCATCGTCGCCATCGTCATCATCGTCGTCACCATCTTCGTCATCGTCATCATCGTCGTCGTCGTCATCTTCGTCGTCGTCGTCATCTTCGTCGTCGTCGTCCTCTTCGTCTTCAAACATGCACATAAAAAATCAGACTAACAGAAAACTTGGAGGAGAAGAGAGTTTTGGATTTGCTTGAAAGGAGGGGTGCAATTTGGATTAAATAAGCACAAGTAAATTTTCAAAGACTTAAAAAGATCGCGCTAGCCTGTAGAACGAGAGCAATATGTGCTCATTTATTCCGAATTACAAGAGAAAAATCATTTTATAACTTGGAATAATATACAGGTAATTGAATTTCAACTTTCCGTACTCAACTTCAATTTTCTGTATTGTAAAAAATGATGAAACGGGACATTGTTAGTTGACAAATTGAACGGAAATCTGCATAGCGCTTTGATTACTTTGCCGCATCGCAAAAAGCAACACAGAATATTATCTTGTTTTCAAAAATTCAAATGAGGGATTCAATTCGCTGTGGTTGAACTTCTATTCTGACGATCTAAACTATTTGTTACCAGTAAAAGAGCAATTTTGCTCGCTTTGCTTACCCCTTGTAACTTTGCTTAACTTTCCCTGATTCTAGAAAATATCAGTTTTCTCTTCCAATATCGTGCCAGGCACGTGCGACGAGTTGCTGTTTGTCATGAAACTGATTGTCACTTCGTGTTACAGTGTATAGCTTTCCTTCATTTAAAGGTTTAGTTTAGTGGCGAATTTGATTCCATTCTTAAATACATTAAGCTAGTAGGTACTTGTCTACACAGACAAAGTTACCTGTTGCAGTAATGGCCAATATGGGTACGTGTTAAATAAAAGAAAAAAAAAAAACACAGGCAACCAATTAATCCGCCAAGTTCCGTTTTGATTACCCAAAAAAACAGGGGAAAAAAAACCGTTGCTGCCCTACGTCCTTCTCAACTTGACTGCTGTTTGCTGTATTGAGACAAATTTTGCCCTCGGTCTTGGGCCTCGGTTGTACCGTAATGACCTCAGCCAAAGTTTTCGATTATAAATTAGAAATAGCAAATAGCATGTCTCTTACCAGGAATACCCCAGAGAGGTTTCAACAAAGCCAAAAGACAGAGTAACGCCAAAAATTTAGAGGCCATTTCTCCTTCTTCTCGGAACTCTACAGGTCTTGCGTGCTAAGTGGTGTGCTCAATTTCTACCTCACAAGTTAACGACTGATCTAGAAGACACAAACATGTTACTCATATCGATCGCGGCATTGACTGATGTTTAATCTTTGATATGGGCAAAAAACACTCCAATTTTAGAAACACTTAAAAAAGATGCAATAGCTGAAAATAAAGAGCAACGAGAGAAACGCTTCACTATTTAAGTGAGTCGCAAAGTTACACAAGTTCTTCTTATTCAGTATTTATTTACCCTGAGCGGGGATGGTTTCGCTCAATATAATATTGTACCGTAGTCAGTGCTTGTGCGTGTTACCAAAGTGCTATATTTTAATCTGAAGTCAATAAAATGCACCGGAAAAGAACAGAGGCCTGTAATCACGTTACAGTAGGTTCCCACATTGACGATTTGCAAACCTAATTGTCGTTTTCCCCTTAAAGATAAGACTCAGATGAAAGCACATATTTCACAGACCATCAAAAGTCTCTCGTCGGAAAAACCTTGAAAAACACAATTTTGGAGCAGCGAGTGCTTTTGGAAATTACTGACGATGTGTTTGATGTAGTCTTTCGTACCGGTTGATCGGAAATGTTGAAACGCTCTGT